TACAGTCTCTATAGATGTGCCTTGTCTAGGATCTACTGACAGCAAGAAGCTTTACAGATACCTAGTTCTCAAGTCAAGTAGGAATTAGGACTTTGTAATATCCTCTCCCCAGTTTTCTCTCTCTCTTTCTCAGAGTTTCGGTATCTGCCCAAGCACTGGAGAATTTTTTTCAGCAAAGTTGCAATAACCCCAAGTTAACAGAAATCCTAACAAAGTGAATTCCAAAATCAATATTGGAATATGTGCTATGGGGTTAAGCGAAAGAAAATAATCTGAAAACTAAATGGCAGAAATAGAACTGAGGGACAGAGTCACATGCAAACGAGGACCCAAACAAAAGATAAGTGTCTCAATATATCATGAAAAGTGAGAGGCTAGTTTCAAATATATCCAGGAACAAGAGAAAAGGTTATCTATAAATAAACTGAACAATGCAATTCAATAATTCTGAATTTAAAAAGGGCAAAGAAAAACTAAACGAAGAAAATAAAGCTGTGATGCTGTCAGCGACAAGCAAACTGATTGTTTGAATAAGGATGAAAGGGAATGGATGGAACACTGAATACCCTTTCATTTATTGAATGCCCCCCGCCCCCCCACTGATTCTTTACTACTTTTAGTAGGAGAACTTCAGGTTAGATCAGAGTAGGAAAAATACCTCCTTCTAAATCTGTATATCAATGGTATTCTGTTTGTCGCTTCCCTTGGCTATTGAACAGAGTGGATCTATTTTGGTTTCACTGTGCGCATCAGCAATTTGTACATGCTAACAGTGTGGAGGTGGATAAACAAGCTGTTTCTGTACTGAATGTTGTACCTTATGATTCTTGACGAATGTATCTTTTCTTTTTATTAATACTGAGAGTATTTGCACCAAGACAAATTCCTTGTGTGTCCAACCACACTTGGCCAATAAAAGAATTTCTATTCTATTCTATTCTATTCTATTCTATTCTATTCTATTCTATTCTATTCTATTCTATTCTATTCTATTCTATTCTATTCTGAGTCCAAGCCTTCCCTTTTTACCTTCTAGCCATCCATCAAATAGAGTATTTGCACCAAGACAAATTCCTTGTGTGTCCAACCACACTTGGCCAATAAAAGAATTCCTATTCTATTCTATTCTATTCTATTCTATTCTATTCTATTCTATTCTATTCTATTCTATTCTATTTTCTATTCTATTCTAAGCCCAAGCTTTCCCTTTTCACCTGCTAGCCATCCTCTACTCAGACGTGCTCAGAGATCACCTTCTGTTAGGTAAGGGAAGAAATGAAGCCATTTTCTTCCTATCTTGGACCAAAAAAGAATCAAAGCGGGAATTAGCTTGGCAGATTGGTAATTAGAGGTATTTGGTCATCTGTCTTAAAATCAGATGAAAAGGCCTAGTGGGCCAGAGGATTTTTCCCCCCTGTGCTGTAGTGAACTAAAAACTGCTGGTCTTGTTCAAAAAGTATTGATAGATGTAGAATGGACTCTCGTTGATACTGCTATTAACAGTGATATTGGCTGTGGCTTCTAACAATCATTCTACTTTTTTTATCTTGAATCTACCATTTTTTAAAGTTCTATTCAGAAACTTCATGTTTACCCTGAATGTATTCTTTCTGTAGTCTTCACCATACATTAGAGTGAAGCTCCTGTCATACTTCACATAGCCTGTCTATGGCCTATCTCCAAAAGTTTGCATATCTGTTTCAGCGAAGTTTAATTTAAATTGTCTTTGTCTTTCTTTAGTTTTTAATCTAAAAGGCAGAGGCCTTGCACCAGTAATCCCCAAATCTGGGTAAATTACACAACATTGGTTTAATGTTGTGGTCATTGGTGCTCTCTAAGCTTGATGGTTTTCTTGAAGATGTTTCATTACCAAACTAGGTAACATCATCAATACTAGAAGGGAATGGAGTTTGCTCTTATTTTCATACATATAGTAGTGACTTGTACCCTATCAATATTGATCAGTTGCTTCACAAAAAGTGTTTTGATTGGTCCCGAGTCTCTACAGCCTCAGGCAGAGAAGGGCTATTCTGCACCCTTACGTCAAATGTTCTTTAAAATACAGAGTTTCCCAGCATTCCTTAGGAACCTCCAACATGTGGTTACTTATTCTAAAATGAAACCTCTTTACCTGGAGCTTCAAAATCTGCTGTTTGCTGGGAAGGTGTGTAGCTACATTTAGTGTTCATCTAATTTGGGGGATGTTTCTTCAGAACAAAACAAAAGTGTATTTTCTGTGCAGTTCAGACCCCTTGCTTGTTGGATCTGGATGTTACAAAACAAAGCCAACATTTTGTAATTAACCCATGTGCCCCATTTTGGCTGGCAGAGTGCTGCAGGAGGCTAAGTGCTGTCACGCCCTCTGGCCACACCCACCCACCCAGCCACACCCACCCACTCAGCCATTAGAGCAGAGAACTGTTTGTTAAATTATTTTAATCCCACCACTGATATTAATTTTGGCCAAATACAATAATAAGGTGACAGATTTTGTTTTTGAGCCTAGTTCAACTTTCCATTTAAAACCAATTAAAATAAGGAAGACTTCAATAGAAAACAGCTTTCTGAAACTGCCCTGAGTCATTGAATTTTCAGCTTTAAAATCCTATCAATACTTCAAATATTGATGACATAGTTGATAGTGGTAATAATGCTACCTACTCGCAGCACCGAATGCAATATATAATGTCTACAAAATAATTACTTTTTAAGTTTTGCAGTTAAGTAATTCACAAACCAGCTTTTTTTTTTAGCCGCATGATGCTCAGAGGTAGGTTGATTATGTTCAAAACTGGATGGTCACATTTAGTCTTCAGGCGTAAGCATTGGTCAAGCATTGCCAAATTCAAAACCAAACCTTACAATGAATGGCAGGCTGAAGATATTGGTTTTTCCAACAGCAGAAGAAGCTCAGGTGCAACTTTCACATTTAATCAATGGCCACACTTTCTTTGTATTCTGCAGTCATGGCATCCATTTATTTTCTTAAGAAAATCTCTGAAAGAGTTTGAGATCACTTAGAAAACCAGATGAAGCTGGAAAATGCACATTCTCTGCGTGAGAAAGGGCATTCACAATAACGTTACTAAAGGTGCCCTGATAATAAAATGTTACAGATATAAGTAAGCATATACAATTCAGCAGAAAACACACAAGGCAGAACAATGTAATTCAGAACAGGTTTTTATTTACCAGGGCAGAGCAGGCAGACTTGAACTTACCCTGTTAGAAATAAAAATGCATTTCCAATCTTTGGACTAGATGCCTCGTAAGCGGCGACAGCAGTGTCATAGTTGTTGTACTTTAGCAATGATAGATGTTAATGATAGATGTTTTTCCCATTCTACTGTTAGAGAGTGAATTATGGACAGACAACGAAGAGTTCATAGGTTGCATTGGTGATGGAGCCTGAAGGGAATGTCAGAGATACAAGATATCTATAGTCATGCAGCAGTCATACAAAAAGAACATTTTGATATGAACATCCCTTTGCAATCCATCAATTTTGATTAATAAAGTTTATTTTAAAATTAAAATTTAGCACACTGTGATTATTTAGATAATGTAAATTGTTTTGTGATGTTGTATTTTATGTCCAAGGAATGTTTTCTCACATTTGATTAAGTTGAACTCAGACAACTCAGCAGACTGCATAACACAGTGTTTCTCAGTCAGCAACTTTATGATGTGTGGACCTCAGCCTCTACAATTCCCCATCCATCATCTATAACTGACATAAATAACGTAATATCACACATAACAGAAAACATAACCTAACGTAACAACCTAAACAACAACAAAAAGAACAAAAAGAATAAAAAGAAAGAGCGATTCTGAAGTACTTCAGAAAATAAAAACATGTTATCCTTAGACGAAATCTTTGACATAATGCTATAATATATGCTTTCAATTGTGGATCTGTATCCTGCAGGAGTCAAGAAGAGAGCTGTGAAAATATTTACAGACCCCTCACATCCCGGACATAAACTGTTTCAACTCCTACCCTCAAAACAATGCTATAGAGCACTGCATACCAGAACAACTAGACACAAGGACAGTTTTTTCCTGAATGCCATCATTCTGCTAAACAAATAATTCCCTTAACACTGTCCAACTATTTACAAAGTCTGTATTACTATTAATCTTCTCATTACTCCTTATCACCCATTCCCGCCTACTTGTGACTGTATAATTGTAACTTGGTTGTTTGTATTCTTATGATTTATATTGACTGTTTCCTAGTATGATTTGATTGCTTATTGTACCCTATGACTATTAAGTGTTGTACCTGATGATTCTTGACTCTTGATGAATGTATCTTTTCTTTTATGTATACTGAGAGCACGTCCACCAAGACAAATTCCTTGTATGTCCATTCACACTTGGCCAATAAAGAATTCTATTCTATTCTATTCTGATCATTTTTGTAGCATTCATCTAGAATCTTCCAAATATATCTATCTTTGTTTGTTTCACAAGGAAACAAACACGAAACAGAGGTAATAGCAAAACGTTTTAATGATTCTTTACAAGTTCCATTCCTTCAAGTTTAAAAGGCTGTTTCAAACTAATTGTCTCTGATAAGAACGAGCCTTGCCAAGGTTGTGCAAGGCTGCCAAGAATACTAGATAAAGTTACTAAGAAATATTTCAAACACAAAGAGTCTCCAAACACCAACCAAGATACTCTGAATGTCCACAAGGCTTGAGTACAAAAACTTCTTTGCTTCCTGCAAAGAACTCTGGTTTCTCAGCTGGCTTCTATCTCTTAAGGGAGGGGCCATTACTTTGCAGCCTTACTCCCAAGTAGCCCATGCTGCTGCAGCTGTTCTTTCCTTTGAGCAGCCTTGTGTGCATGCGCACTAGACCCAGGTTCTTTGGGGACCTCTTCATCACTGCTGACAGCCTCCACAATCTCTGAAGGCAGCATTCCACTCCCTGATGGTCCTGGCACCATCCCTGCATCACACGCAGGCCCCTCATCTGAGTCCTCGCTCTCCGAGACTTCAGCTGTCCACAGCTGCTTCCAGGGAACCACATCAATTTTCCTTGGAATGTATCATTATAGCCTTTTCTTCTTCTGTGTCTAAATCAAACTTTCAATTGTCAGAATGAAGCCACCTTCTTGGCTTTATTGTTGGCCAAAAATAAGTCATTATTGGTACATGTTTTTGGTAGTGGCTGAAACACCAGCACATGGCAGGGGATGTTACTCCACATTTACATAGCATGTTGTTATCCACTAAGAGCCTCCACCTGAGCATATTAATTTTTACATTTACAACTCAACCTATTTAGGGTCTTCCAAGAAGCATAAGGGAGGTCCGATTCTTCAGCCATATCCTCCTTTAATGTTAGTCCTTGCTTGATAGTCTCCTTCCTCCATCTTTTAATTCAATTTTGTTCTTATGTACCTTCCAAAATGTTTATTCTTGCTGTAAAGCTCTGAGTTGGGGCTATTCTTCTCAGCATCTGCTTCTTTTTCACTTCTGATCTTAGATGAGGCAATGCCAGGGAAGAGGATATATTTTCTCAAATAGTGTAGTTTTGAGACAACCTGTCACTAAGAGTACTACTTCACTGACAGCAATAGCAACTTGTTTCACATGTGCAGATGTGCCTTACACTAGAGCAACATACTCTGCTGCAGAGACTGGCAGAGTCAAAGGCCAAAGTTGATGTGCGCACTGTAGACGGCTGAGCTCCCCATGTGTAGTTGATAAATTTCCTGATAATATTGTTCCTCAGGCTGACTTTAGCCTTAGTGTTCAGGCGATGCTGCTTAAAAGAGAGCGTCTGTCAAGTGTTATATCAAGATACTTCGCTGTAGTTGGTTCCCTTCCCACATAACATCCAATTGATGGGTACTCCATCACTAGAGGCTTTCAAATCTGAAAAGCCATTGGGTCTCTTGCTCAAGCTGGGGGTTGGACTAGAAGAGCTTCAAGGTCCCTTCCAACTCTATTATTCTATGTTCTAAACTCTTCCCTTGCATCTCAATTCTGGAGGTGGAAAGCACCTTGGATATTGTTTGGGTTGGGCTCTAAATGGGTGATAGTGTAATATCATCCTAATTTTTCAAGTGCTACCATAAGTTTCCCTGCTACCTCATCAAACTTCATCTATAGATGAATAGACCTGCATTGTCAGGGACTGGTTGATCATTCATATATATGTTATATAATGTCAGAGACAATAAATGTCTTTGTGGCATCCCATTCTTCTGCAAATTCCATCTGTCCCAATGCCTTGTAGAGATGGAAGAGGAGCGAAACTGATCAGTATTTTTGTGGGGGATCATCTGGGTCTTCATTGGGTTTCAATAAGGCAGCAACTCTAGCCTGTCTCCACAATTTTGGGATCTTAAACTCAGCTATGCGGTGGTTCATCAATTGCAGGAGCTAGTCCAGAATTCCAAGGGACCAAATTGCTTTATTTATTCTATTCCTTTTGTCTCAACACCTGCTGCTTTATTCATTTTCATAATCTTTATAGCTTCCTTCAATTTGGATACCACAAAAGACATATTTAATACCCCTCCTCTTGTCCTTTGTTTAGATGGCTTGTTCCTGCATCTTTTTTTTCTTGGGTTTTTCTATTCTTTAGCAACTGTCTAGCTATTTGGTCTGCTGTTATGTCTGCATGATTTTTCTGTAGGTGGGTTCTGTCTCTGTCTAAATTTTAAAGAAGTTTCCACATTCATCTGCTGTTCTAGTTCATGTTTAGGTTCCCCACTAATGTGCATGATTCTGATTTTGATTATTGACTAGTGCTTACATCCACTCTTCCCCAGCTTCAACTAAGTCTTCCCAGAAAGGGCCCTGGATACAAAATGCCTAATATCTACTCAGCAAAGATTTAGTATCACCAGTCAAACCCTGGACACACTGGGTACGGCATCCTTTTGGTTTGGTTCTCCTTTCACAAGATTAATAACTTGCTTATATTTATGTGCATGTGGAGAGATCTTCCCTACATATTTATCCAGCAGCTCTTAAAATTTCACCAATTTATCCTTCTTAAAGTTAATACGATTGCAAAAGGGATTCTCTATGGAATGTATTATACACATGATGGGACTATGCTGGGTGCCTGAGTTGGGTCATCAACGACTTTCGTGCACTGTGCTGTCAATTTTTTCAACTTGTCAAACATTAAGAATTCTCAAAAGTTGTGACATACCTTGGGGATTGTAAAGATATTTTGGTTACTTTAATACAATTTAGATGTGCTTGGTAAGTACATAAATATCATAACTTTTCAACATTTTGTTTGTTTCATGCTGCATTCTTCTTGTTAACAAAGATGTCATCCATGTTGTATCCCCTCCTCCAACTGCTACTCTTGAAAGGTATCGGCAGTTTTGGGTCATGGACAAATTGGAAGTCATTAGTGTCCATCAAGATACAAGTTGTGCCCCATCCTTGTTGATCTGGTTGTATCCCCAATCCTCACTGTGACAATTAAAATCCCCAATGATAAAATTTATTTGATCTATTTGATCATATATAAACTTATCTGGTTCGCTAAAACTGAAGTTTACTTCTGGAATCTTATAAACCAGTGGTCGCCAACAGGTGGGCCGTGAGAAAATTTTGGCGGGCTGCAGAGAAATCTCATCCCCAGAGCACCTCCCAAAAATAATTAATCCAGGCTGCACAGAAACACAAGACTGCACTGCCCACACGGCCCGTGGGAACCCTCCCGCCCACTCACTCCTTACCCAGCAAATTTGCCTGCTAAATTGCAATTTTTCCTTTTTCTGACCATCAGCTGTTCTGCTGTGCATGGAGATTTAGATTATCTAGGAAGCAGGAAATGGTTGGATTTCTTGCTTTCTAGCTAGTCTTTAGATCGTAGGCTCTGCTTTTAAGCACAACCAAACCTCCCTTAGCACTGAAGGTTCTATTATTCAGTGCAGACTCACGGCAAGCAAATTTTATGTGACAGACTCAGGTAGCTGATGGCTGATAGATAGATCACTGGATGATTCTGTGAGCAACTCAATCTGCCTGTCTGCTTTGCCTGATTTG